CGTGCTTCTAATAGCTTCTCCATCAGCATGAATGGATTCAGCAACTTTGCAAATTGTCGTCTTCAAATGATGAGGGGGTCATTAAAGAGGTTCATCAGTCTAATAGTATAAATTGAATCATTGCTCATACGGTTCACTGTTCTCAAATAGCACAGTGACAGTCACAACAACATTTAAAAAAAATCAAAACTTACAGTTAATTTTGTAATAAGATGTCAACCAACAATGTAACCAATACCTGTTTTGTAATGATGTTTTGTCTGTAGCCTTCAATTATCGCTACTTAATATCTGGTGGGAAATTTCCTTGACTTTATGTCCATACTCGCATTTCAATCCAAACTTGGCATCTTGTTGCGCTTTGCCCGAGGCATCGTTTGTTATGTCTACAGAGATTTTAGAAATGCTCTCCTTGTCCAGTTTCGCATTGAAAAAAGGTTCATTCGCTATGAATAAAAGTTTAAAAAATGATGATCACATTTCTTTGATCTCTACATCAGTCAGTCCACAAATCTTGCAATCAACAGTAACTGTTGGGAATGGCTCATCAAATGGGCCTAAGATAGCTCTGTCTTTTTCTTCATCTCCTCCCAAGCCTTGAAATAAGCAGCCAGGAACCAGAGTCAAGTTATTTTTAAAAGTCGCCTCTGGTTAACAGGGGTTTAGCCAGAACTAGGTGCAATTTTCTGAAAACAGATATTTATTAACAACCAATTACATAAGTTAAATAAGCTCAAACATACAATGTTAATTTCATCATCTTTGGCAGGAGCCTCGGGTGAAAGAGAATAGTCTGTTGTTCTATTTTTCACAGCAATGAGTTGAAAATAGTGCAGATCTTTGGAGCCTTCACTCCTGGACATTTGCCTTGGGGTTATTCGCATATCAACATTGTCCCCATTTATCATGTATCCGAGATGTCCTTCACTCCTGGACATTCGCCTTGGGGTTATACACATTTCAACATTGTCCCCATTTATCATGTATCCGAGATGTCCTTCACTCCTGGACAATTGCCTTGGGGTTATATGCATATCAATATTGTCCCCATTTATCATGTATCCGAGATGTCCTTCACTCCTGGACATTTGCCTTGGGGTTATACGCATATCAATATTGTCCCCATTTATCATGTATCCGAGATGTCCTTCACTCCTGGACATTTGCCTTGGGGTTATACGCATATCAACATTGTCCCCATTTATCATGTATCCGAGATGTTCTTCACTCCTGGACATTTGCCTTGGGGTTATACGCATATCAATATTGTCCCCATTTATCATGTTTCAGAGATCTCCTTCACTCCTGGACATTTGCCTTGGGGTTATACGCATATCAATATTGTCCCCATTTATTATGTTTCCGAGATGTCCTTCACTCCTGGACATTTGCCTTGGGGCTATACGCATATCAATATTGTCCCCATTTATCATGTATCGGAGATGTCCTTCACTCCTGGACATTTGCCTTGGGGTTATACGCATATCAATATTGTCCCCATTTATCATGTACCGGTATCCGAGATGTCCTTCACTCCTGGACATTTGCCTTGAGGTTATACGCATATCAATATTGTCCCCATTTATCATGTATCCGAGATGTCCTTCACTCCTGGACATTTGCCTTGGGGTTAGACGCATATCAATATTGTCCCCATTTAAAATGTTTCCGAGATGTCCTTCACTCCTGGACATTTGCCTTGGGGTTATATGCATATCAATATTGTCCCCATTTATCATGTTTCCGAGATGTCCTTCACTCCTGGACATTCGCCTTGGGGTTATACGCATATCAACATTGTCCCCATTTATCATGTTTCCGAGATGTCCTTCACTCCTGGACATTTGCCTTGGGGTTATACGCATATCAATATTGTCCCCATTTATCATGTATCGGAGATGTCCTTCACTCCTGGACATTTGCCTTGGGGTTATACGCATATCAACATTGTCCCCATTTATCATGTATCCGAGATGTCCTTCACTCCTGGACATTTGCCTTGAGGTTATACACATATTAACATTGTCCCCATTTACCATGTATCCGAGATGTCTTGATTTATTGTGGGCATCCAGGGCGACTGGATCGTTAGCTAGTTCTTTTTCTTTCTTCATGTCTTGTTCAAGGGACTCTCTCCACTTATTTGCTTTGCTGTTGTAATTGCTGCCAAAGTCTACCTGGTGTCTCAGTTCAGTTGGGTAAGACACAGAGGCCCGAATTCACAACAGTGGTACAAAGAGGTTTTGTACCATGGGTGTGGTACAAAACCCCCCTCTGAGGTTTAAACCTCTGATTTTCTGATTCACAAAGGATGTTGAAACCCCTGGGGGGTTTGACTACGTCATCATTTGGTCTAGATTTTAGTCTGCCCTTAGGGGTAGTACAAAGAGTGGTACAAAAAACCCGCGCGTGCGCAAACACCACCTCTTGGTTATTATCATCGTCAAATGGATTCCTTAGCTGAACAAAGTCATGGGGCAAAGTTCCTTTACTATTATTGTTAGATTGCTTGGTTCAGGTGGAGGTGGCCCTCCTCCTGTTTTTCTAGACTCTCTGGCGAAGTTTGAGTAGTCCTTTTTGGCATTTATTCTAATCCTCTTCCATTGGTCCTTGATTTGAGTTGCGCTCCATCTCTTTCCAAATTTGGCATGGAAAGATTGCACCAAGGTCTCCCATGCACCTGCTTTGTTTGAGTTGGTTAGGTAATCTGTCTTTGTGGAGAGTATTACGTCCTTCCTCTTGCTGATCATCTCTAGGAGAAAGTTTCTTTCACCCACTTGCCAGTTCCCTTTGGTTCTCTCCCTCCCTGCACTCACAGTAGCTGCATTACCCCTGGCCTCAATTTTAGATGTAGCAGACGGCATCTGATCTACTGAGCATGCTCAGTAGAAAGAAACCATGGTACAATCCATGGTCTAAGATTGTACCATGGTCTAAGATTGTACCATGGTTTAAACCCCCAAGGGGTTTTGTACCATGGTTTAAACCCATGGTACAAAGGAAACAATCGTTGGTGAATCAGAGAGAGGTAAACCCCCTGGGGGTTTAATCCATGGTCTCAAAAACCTAGGGGGGGGGGGTTAAACTCCCAGGGGGTTTTGTACCACTGTTGTGAATTCGGGCCAGAAAGATCCCTTCCTTGCAAGCGAGATATTGCCTTGTCCCCGCATCCTCCTCTCTTTACAGTCAAAGCCGTCATCAGCTGATGAGCATTCATTCGCTCACTCCAATGCTTTTTGCGATATCACAAACGATTTCCTTATTTGGAGATTCCTTAATCCCAATGATGCGTTCATTATTTCCTCTTGAATACTGCTCCAAGTTATTCATTTCACGGGATACACTTCTCATCTTTGACCCTCTCCACCGACTGCGACACAAGATGGAATTCATGAAGCTTTGCGTCAACGGATACTTCAAGATCATGGAGACGTGCCACAAAGTGAATCCCAGTGATCCCTCCATGTTGGAGTCTTTGAGCATCAGGCGACGCCTCTTGAATGTGGGTGTCGACACCAAAGATCCAATCTCTGAAACTGTCCCACAAACAGACAGTCTCTTGTTTTAATCCCAGTGATCCCTCCATGTTGGAGTCTTTGTGCATCAGGCGACGCCTCTTGAATGTGGGTGTCGACACCAAAGATCCAATCTCTGAAACTGTCTCACGAACAGACAGTCTCTTGTTTTAATCCCAGTGATCCCTCCATGTTGGAGTATTTGTGCATCAGGCGACGCCTCTTAAATGTGGGTGTCGACACCAAAGATCCAATCTCTGAAACTGTCCCACGAACAGACAGTCTCTTGTTTTAATCCCAGTGATCGCTCCATGTTGGAGTCTTTGTGCATCAGGCGACGCCTCTTGAATGTGGGTGTCGACACCAAAGATCCAATCTCTGAAACTGTCCCACGAACAGGCAGTCTCTTGTTGTTTGGGCTGGTGACAGCCACGCCAAGGCTCACCACTGTAGGCCTGATGATCAGTTCCACCTTATCATGGTCAATTTCGAAATCATGGAGACGTGCCATCATCTCTTCAATCAAGCCAGACAACTTATCTTCATGCTCCACCATAATTCTCCATTCCTACAGTAGAGCAAAGAACCTGCCAGCTCTTGTTCATTCAGTAAGGGTGAGGTCAGAAGCCAGCCTCCTACAGTATCATTGCGAGTGTCGGATAAATCAATATCAAACATATTCATAATATCCCTTGTGAAATCCTCCAAGTTAAAATCCAGGACACTAGCCACTGCTACTGATGGTCTTTGTACTGACCCATGTCCAGGTCCTTGTTCCTGAATTGCCTGGGGTGTGCAACGTTGTTTAATCATATTGGTAAACCACAACTGTTCAGGAGTTTTAAATTGCTCAGTTCTTATACCGTGATTGTTGTGAACATGCATCCAATTCGTTAGAGCATCTTGAGTCCGAGGAAGATATGTATAATGTAGAGCAAACATATGTATGGGGTTGTTGATATCAAGGGCCTGTGAGTCTTCCAAATGATAAAAACAACTTATAAAATATCTCTAAAACTTTTGTGAACACATCTCGCCACAGCCTTTCAATCCTTTGATTGTGAACAGATTTTCCTCTGAATGCACTGCCCCGATCTGGTATCAAAGCTTTCAATGTTTTTCGTGCAGATGGTTTTGCAGTACCTGTGTACCTGTAGCAATCGTGGGACGGATGGCAGCAGCCTTAAGACAGGACAGAAATGTTGGTGCCTGTTTCTCGAGTTCCCTCTCTTGATCAAGAACAACAGGTATATTTGGTTCCATCTGGAAGTTCAACAGTCTCTACTGTGTGGGTCATTCGTTGTCCACTTGTCTGGCTCCTGATGTCACTTACAATTGTCCCCGTCTTCTTGATTGAAGAATTTCTTGAGTTAAACAAATCGTTTAAAGTTAGGTCGGTCTCGGTCTATTGATCTGTTACGTTAATTTCCACTTAAGTGGCATCGTCTTCTGTGATAAGTTCTTCCCAGGTTTCCTTAACTAAATCTCAGTCAATGATCATTATGTTGTCCTCCTTATTGATCTCAAGTTCTGACTCAGAGCTGGGCTCTGCCTCCACCTCATCATCCTCCACATCCACCTCTTCTTCGTCCTGCTCTCCACTATCTTGACTGCCGCTGTCTCTGCTCTTAGTTTTCCTCTGAACAGGACGACGCTTGCTGCTATGTAACCATGCTTTCACAGCTTGCTTTGTCTCAAAGGTACCCAGGGGAGCGCCTTACTGTTGAATTAGGAGAAGGCCGTCAGTGGTACTTGTGGAGAGTGATTTTTCGCCAGTCAGTAAGCACGAGCTTTATGGCTGAAAATGCCCTTTCTAATTCCGAATTAGAGATGGGATAGACAAGAACAATGGCCACGTATACATGTAAATAAGGAAATATGTTTTAACTCAAGTTGAGCCAAAACACATTTCTCCCTGTGCATAATGGTTGGAATGCAGAGAACTGAAGCTGCCCTATTAAAAAAAAAAAATCCTGTCTTCAACAAAGAGCATGATAACACTATTGTTTTTTCAATTCATGAGAGTTCCAATCACAACTACAAAAATTATAAAGACAGTGGGACACTTAACTGTCATAATTGCATTCATCCAACCATTTGGCAGACTCGGCATGTTCTACAAAAACTGGAAACATCGCGTCTCAACCCTGGCCAAAAGAAATGCTTCAAGATTCTTTGGCTCGTTTTGTTCACCCCTAGGTGCCCACTAAGTCCAACATCATGAGACACATTTAAGATCTGTCTATGAAACACCTTTGGCACTACCACTTAGTGAACTTCACTCCAATCCTCATCCAGTGAGGCCTCCACTGGTCTCCACTTCCTCATCAATACTTCTCCCTTCCTATAGAAACAGACTCTTTCTTTACCAGCCTCTTCCTCCGACAGAGCACTATCTCTTATTCCTACCAACTCAGAATCTTTCCCCTGAGCGTCTATCAAAGACTCCTTATTCAATCCTATCCTACTTTCATCAACCTGTTGAACTGTGCTACACTTCTCAGATGGTTTGCCACGATCTACCTGACAGAAAACACTACCATCATCCAACCGACAGAAAAAACTGTCATCCAAGGACACATCATCTGAACCAGCCTTCTCTGAAGACTGTTCTAACTCTCTCTTCTTCTCCTCCACCTTCTTTGTCATTGATCTAGAAATATGAATTTAAATGCACACACACACACACAAGCAAACACGTACACACCCGACATGATAGAGCAAAGATATAAGAGGGGAAAAAAAATACATGATAAAGAGCTACTAAGAGAGATCGCTATTATTTAAAGATTTGAATAGATGTAACTTGCACAATGCTTTGAATCTGGACAATAACTAAGATTTGTAACGATATCATCTTGTATCTCCAATAGTGGCTGCTATGTTATAATAAGTTCTATAAGTCTGGTTCTTCTGTTAAGGGTTAATCTTCAACTTTCTGGGGTCTCTTCACAAAAAAGTGCAGGACTGGATGCAGAAAGACAATGTTTCTTCAGTCTGTATATTTTATCTGAGTGGAGAAAACCACCAGACCCAATTTTGTGCTTCTGGAAAACTAGCGTAAACTTGGTTCCATACATAACTTTGTTTGAGGTATTTGATGCAGTGTTGAAATTGTACCGTTGCTAGCTAGTACACAGTACAAAGTTGCTAGGATGGTAGATAATTGACAGGCAATTTGATCTTGTCTAAGGGTTGAATAACAGTTTTGATCAAGGTATTTGATGCAGTGTTGAAGTTATACCGTTGCTAGTAGCTCACGGTACAAAGTTGTTTGGATGGTAGATAATTGGCAGGAAGTTTGCTCCTGTCTAAGGGTTGAATAACAGCTTCGATGGAGGCAGAGCATCCCCTGTGCTCTCAGCAGCATCAAAAGCAGGCACTGTCTATGTTAGGACTTGTTACAGAGGTTATTGTGAGGCAGAGAAGGTGTGAAGGTGGGTGGATAGCGAGGATCTATTACATCTTCAAACATTTTTGGTTTCTTTCTGTTTACCAAAAGACAAGATCGGTAGGAGTCGTCCTCAACTCGGTTGATTAGTGATTCAGCTTCACCTGCAACAAAGTGAAATTTCACAGTGTCCTTGTATCTCACTTTCACTTAAAAGTACTGCCAGTCATTTCTACTTTTGAGGAATTATTCGTACTTGTTGGCCCTTAAACAAATGTTATGGGTCCTAGATTCCTCTCTTTTGTCAAAACTTCTGTGTAAAAAGTATACAAAATGACTGTATTTCCTTTCTAATTTTGCCTTGAGGGATTCCTAATTTTTGCTTTCATGATTGCAAAATTTCGTGAACTCTGACTTACTGATGAAGTTGACAGATGCTTCGCTGTCAATTATTGAACAAATATCATTGTCATTGATCTGAAAATTCTGAATGGCCCATTAGCAAATTCAAATGTATAAGCTTAAATACAGTGATTTAAATATCTGCTGAATTAAAAAAGAAAATCCAGACAATTCCATGTTAAAGTAAAATAAAGCAGAATCCTAACCAAACAAACAAATCCTATTTTCTTAAACCACAAGTGTTTTTTTGTTTTTTTGATAGTAGGTTGTGAAAATTATCGTCTATCAAATGTATTTGATCCTATTTTTCAGTCATATATTTCACTATTGGAAAAGACATGAATAAATTATGTAATAAAACTCTTTTGATAGGAGAATTGTTTTTGTATAGTTATTACCTATTGTAATTAGAAAACAAAGTGAAAAAGAGATATAAAAAGAAATTCGGCGAGTTCGGGATAAATACTGAGAACAAGCTCAGTAGACCTGTTTCAAATAGAGAGATAGAGAGAGAGAGGCGAGAGAGAGAAAGTGAGAGAAAGAGAGGGAGGAATAGAGAGAAAGAAGGGGAGAGACAGAGAGAGAGAGAGAGTCAGAGGGAGGGAGGTTGATGGAGCATTAAGGGAGAAAGAGATTCGGGAAAGAGAGAAGAAGGAGAAATGTGAGGGAGAGAGAGAGAGAGAGAGATGAATATAGTTCGCTAGAGATGTGCTTGCTGTTGGAAGTGTAGTTGCAAAAGGGTAAATCAATGAATATAAATTGAGAGAGAGAAAGAGAGAGACATGGAGAGAATCATCAACAGAGATCCAATCTGGAGGAACTAGAGAATGCAGAATGGAGACAAGAAATGAAGGGCTAATCTGATAAGATGAAAAAAAAGAATATTCACCTTATGTCATATTCAGAGATGCCAGTTTTCAAGCCCTGGCGAGTTATTTTCAGACCATAGTTAAGGAATTTTTGTGTACCAAATAGCTCATTCTCGGTGATTTTCAGGCCCTCTGATCAATTCTAACTGGCATCCCTGCATATTGTTTATTTTGTATATTGTGCAGACGGATAGGCAAATTATAATCTGATATTTTCATGTACAAGAGAGAGGGAGAGAGAGAGATCGAGATATTTCATGGAGGGGCGGGAAGGGGTATGCATATTATAGGCGACAGCGGTATATATATATATATATTAGTACACAAAGGACATCAATTCTGTTTTATCCATCAAACATTCAAACATAATTACATTCAATACTTTTTCAGTCCGAATGAGAGAGAGAGAGAGAGAGAAAGATAAAGGAATCGGAGAGCCAGAAAGAGACAAGAGAAGAGATTCCAACTACACCCCATTTATCAAATCAAGTCTGAGAATCTTAATCCACTTTTTTACAATTAATTCATATACTAATTTGTCGGGAAAGCCAAATATTGAATTTCCAATTTTTGAGTTATATCATAATTATTGTTGATCAGGGGCGGATCTAGGGGGATGTTTCGGCGGTTAACCACCCCCCCCCCCCCCTTGGGCGGCCAAGTGTGGGGGGGGGGGGAAAAGTAAAACAGTAAAACGGCGCGATTTTGGAAAATCCTGGATGCGCCACTGGGTCAACCCCCTCCCCCCCCCCCCTTGGCAAAAAGCTAGATCCGCCACTGTTGTTGTTGTTGTTGATCTAAAAATAAAAGAAAATAGGAACCTATTGCGAGGGATGGGGTGGGCAGTGTAGAAAAAAGCCTTGGGCGTGGTCATTCCTCAAAAGGGCCCTTTTTACGGGCAATCGGACCTTAAAAATAATAATAACTGTGTATCCCGAAAGCGTAAAATCAGTAAATGAGCATATTTTGTGAAGTCATTAACATCAGAAAGTGTAAACAACTAGAAGCGAACCAGTAAATAGCAGTGAGGCAAAGTGGTCTTGTGGAAGACTGATCGCTTCACAATGCAAAGATACGCGGTTCGATTCCCAGCTACGCCTTTATACCCCATTTTATTTGTATCTTTTTGTCTTCACCCCATGATATTGACCTGTCCATCTCTTCGTTTTGTTGTTGTAATGGGACACCCCCCCCCCCGCACCTCGTCATCGAAGAAGAAAATAAAATGTGATACTCTTTCTTTAACAAGCGACTCTCTGAATTAGTTAGAATACGTCTTTTGCGACATCTACAAAAATTAGTATAAGTATGAAAAAATTCATGGAGATTAGCAATGTGACACTTTAGTCTAGTGGATAGTGGATATTTGTCTTTATTTAGTTGATTGCCACTGTTTTTCTTACCTTATCTATGTTACTTTTGTATTTTTGCTTTTTCTTCTAATTTAATTCTACGGGTTATAGTCTTCTCTTAATCAGAACACTGTGCGCTTAGAAACACCAGTATTAAGCACCTAATAAATGTTATGTATTATTATTATTTTAGGCAATTGCCTGGTAACTGGAAGGTATCGAGTTCGACACCCAAGCTAGTGCTTTTCTTTTCTTTCTTTTGCTCCATCTACAACTATATAACAAGCGACTCTCTGAATATGCCATTTTCGTAATGTAACCAAATTTAATGCATAAGTCTTTGTGAAGTGCCTCAATACAAATTATTCCATTCACCGGCCTGATAAGAATAATAGTATTTCAATGCTGAGTCCATATCTGGTTTATCAATCAATTTTAATGTAGTCCTTATTTTGCGTTATGTCATATTCTTCTTTGGCGTTTACTTTCATGCAATATTTTTATCATGTTTCTTTGGTTCTTCTCACTTTTCCTTCATTTCCTTTCTTCTTGCGCTTAGAAACATTGTATTAAGCGCTTATAAATGTAATGTATTATTATTATTATTATTATTAGACATAATCCAAACTGCATACATTAATTGTTGCCAGGTAGGACAACCCCCCGCCCCCCCCCCCCCCCACTCAGGTTTCAAAATGACCGCATGCGTGTTGCCAAAATGTCCTTTTCGTAACAAAAGAAAAAGGTCGAGCCGTATTGACTTTACACACCGGACTTTTGCTGAAAAGGGGGGGGGGTGATGCTGAAAAAGGCTCGTATACAAAAGAAAAAGGTCGAGCCGTATTGACTTTACACACCGGACTTTTGCTGAAAAGGGGGGGTCGGTTGGAACACGCATATGCGTACCCTAAATAACACTGAGTGGGGGGGGGGCGGGGACAAACCTTATGACTTGACCTACCCAGCAACACTTAATATATGCAGTTTGCATTCTGACTATTGCAATACTATAAAGGGGCAATAATCGCCCTTTGGCAAGACTATACCGACCGCCGCCTGCGCCGGCTGGTATGATCTTCAGTAGATCAAGAATGATGCCCACGATTCCGACCTAGACCTACCAAGTCTCACGCCTATAGCTGGTCACTGAAATTTTGTTTTGCATAGTGAAATAGTAACTATCCACTGTTCATGGTGTACTTTTTGTAAACACTACTGTAACATGTAATATATGAAATAGGAGTATTGCCTAGAATACAATTTGATGTCTAGCTAGATAGGACGGATACCTTGGAGCTGTGTGATAAATACTTAGTTTTGACGGCCTAATTCCATTTGGACTGAGATTTTGAAAGTGTTGGCTGAAAGAGTGTAACATGCTGAGCTTCAAGAGACTGAGGAAATCGAGTTCAGAAGAAAAACCCGACGAAATGGACCAACAGAAGATATCAAGTGAAAGTGCCACTCCCACTGTACCGCCATGTACTGAGGTACGTACTGAAAATATGGAAGCCATGTTACGTAACATACTCGAGAAGGTGTCCGTGCTTGACGATATGTGTAAGAAAGTGAATGTTATCTCTGAGAAAGTGGTGAAAATTGAGGCTAATCTTGAAAGTCTAGATACTAGACTTT